CTATTCTAATTGATGGCTTATAGCAAACTTATCTTCCAGAAATACTGGCGAAGGTATACCAGAAATAGTTTTTTTAGACTCCACGGAATTCCAAAATGATATTGGGTTAGACTTTATACTCGGCTCCACATCGAGAATGTAATTCCTGTAAAGAAATTTGTCTAAAAAGTTAAATTATTTCAGATAATTCTGATATTTTTCAAAGAATATCTGGCTCATCGGACATCTTAAGTTTTTAAAAAATGTATTCCTAAGATTCTTTATCCTTTTAAGCCTCTGATCAAGGAATGAAACCGATTCAAAATAACATTCCGGTTTCGGTTTAGTCAAGTGTTTTGTTTTCGGTTTTGGTTTCGTTCTTCAAAATTTGTTTCGGTTTTGGTTTCGTTCCGGTTTCGGTTTTGGAATAAAAAAATTAAAACAAGTTTGACAAAGAAAAAAAAATTATTAAATAAATATGTACCTTCCAAGGTATGTTTTTGGCGAAATTAAACATTGTGATTAATTTCAATTTATATAAAGAAAACACCTCTGAATCAATTATTCAAACTAACAATCATATTCCACCTCATTTTCTTAGATGTAAATGCTGACATTTGTTTATTATATTAATTATTATATAAGGAGAGTAGTTGCTGATTGGTATTTGATATGAGTTAACACCAGCATTAGCGTATAAGGCCAGAATTCCATTCCCACCCAAACTGCTGACGATGCGTTGGCAACAACTTAATTCCCAACAACGTACAAAAGTGAACAGCGTAAATCGATACTTCCATCATACGGGAAATGCTCGATCAGCGACTGCAACGATTCTAATGCCCAACTTCGCTCTGGCTATTGCAGCAGGCTCAACAGCTACCTGAGCAGAATCAACAAGGATGTGCCCAACCAATGCCCGGCATGTGAAGAGTCGCCACATGACTCCCAGCACCTCTTCACATGACCTGAGAACCCCACTCAGCTAACGCCCCTGTCCCTATGGATAGCCCCTTTGGTAGTAGCATACTTCCTGGGCCTCCCCCTAGCTGAAATTGACGACAACGTTGATGCATGAACCGCCCCGAACAGGGCTTAGTAGCCGCTACAACAACAACAACAACATTCGCATGCTAAACGTTCCCACGACAGCCGGTTCTACGTACCGGAATGACTCGGGGGTTTTACCCGACCAAGGGCTGTTTCGGCGATGTAACCCCGTTTAGGTCGGCGAAGTATCTCAGAAGTTGTTCGTCCATAGGGCTACATTCGCTACGTTTTCTTCTACTCAGGGCTGGCATCGAGTCAAACCCAGGGCCGAAACCTACACCTGCTGTGTATGCCAGAGACGACTACACCAAAACTTCACCTCAGTCAAGTGCAATGCTTGCGAAGGGTGGAGTCACCTCAGAGTCTGCTCAGGACTACGGACACATCGGCAGTGGACCACGTCGGTTGAGGCCCCCTGCTGCTCAAACAGAGCAGCCTCCACGGCTAACCCCAGTCCACCTGAGCAGTCCCACACAAACACCACAGCACAACAACATAACACAATAGACGACACTACAACCGCGACAGACCACAGAACACACCCAACCGCACCACCACTCACACGCCACTGCCAACAACTCTTGGTTCCTCCTACAATCTGCACGGTATGTCAGACCAGGATATTCCGTAATGTGACATCAGTCAAGTGTAAATACCTGCCTTGGCTGGTGCCACTTTAGGGCATGCTCAGGTCTGCGCACCACGCAAGATTGGACGAGGAACTTCGATGGCCCGTGTTGCGATGCTCGGTCGCAGACCTCAACTGCGACGCCTCCCGCCACCACCACAGGGCGGCAACCACCTCAGCAGCGCACACAGCCAATGGCGACACGACCACACACATCTCTCACACCCCGTATCACCACACGTCTCCCGAACCACATGAAGCTCCTTCAATTTAACTGTAACAAACTTCAGAACAAGATCGATCCCGTCTTCATGGGAATCCATGGTATGTTGATAGCTGCGGTCCAACAGACGAAGCTGCACAGAAATTCAACATTTTGAATTGTGCCGGATACAACGTGCACCGTCGAGATCGCGAGCGAGATAATGGTGGTGGCGTAGCGTTCATCTCGCACCACACCGTGCAGTATCGTCTTATTGAAGCAGACATCCCACCCTACAATGTCAGGGCATTGCTATCCGGTCGGGCGATGTTGAGCTCGAAATATTCAACGTTTATATACCCCCCTGTCACCTGCTGCCCGGCAGGATATCAATCTGACATAGGTGCGCTCCTCAGAGGTGAAAACCGAATGGTAGTAGGTGACTTTAATTCGCACCACGATCTTTGACACTCAAGCCTGTGAAACGATCGTAGGGGAACAGATTTGGGTGAGCAGATAGACGATTCGACATTCTGCACAATAAACTACGACGCACCCACCAGGATTATGGGTAACTGCAGCAGCTTGCCAGACATAACAATAGTCAGCGCTGGTCTGATAAAGAGCATATCATGGCGACCTATGCTGACTTTGGCATCAGACCATCTTCCCATAGTCATCTCGATCGATAAACCAGCCGACTTTGCTTCCGCGGACCTATATCAACTTTTCTTAAGCTGATTGGAAAGGCTTCGCGGAATTTACTGAGATCACCTTCGCTGCGCTCCCCCCACCAACCGACGTCCACCTTGGTGATGTACCGGCAGGATGCATTACGGACCCCCGTCCAAACTTCCCTGCTGAAGCGGCTGTTCTAGTCGATGAACGTGACAACCTTCATCAGGCCGATTCGGGAAATCCCCGTATCAGGGATCTCAACGCGGAGATTCGGCAGCTTGTGAACGCACATAAGCCGAAAATGTGGGAAGAGCATATGAAGACTTGCAACTTCACCTATGGTGTGAGTAAGCTTTGGTCAACCGTGAGGTCACTGTCGCCGTGCTTCGTCGGACTCGGAGCCATACGCGAGCTACTTTAGCCGGCAATTCATACTGCAGCCTCCGGTGGACAAAACCAAGCGTCGAGTGACCAAAATGCTGCACAAACTGCCAACAAATTGTGCCCCCATGCTTTCACCTGCGGTGAAGTTCAGGTGGCCATCGGGAAGGCGAAAGCCTCCAAAGCCATGGGTCCCGACGGAATATGCATGCTGATGCTAAAAAATTTGGGTCCTGCGGGAGTAGCGTACCTAATCAATCCTCAATTTGTCTATGGCCACTCTCATCATCCCAGACATCTGGAAGGTGGGGAGAGTGGTCCCACTGCTCAAACCGGGGAAACCCGCCAACAAAAGAGATTCGTATCGACCGATAGCACTCCTTTTCCCGGTAGCGAAGACACTTGAGGCCCTGCAGCTCCTGTATTTCACGAACCACCTGACCCCAGCGAAGCATCAGCATGGTTTCCGTAAAGTGCACAGTACAACAACAGCACTTAACGCCATAAACACTCAGATAACTCGTGGCCTTAACCGTATCCGTCCCTGTGAGAGAACGATTCTAGTAGCGTTGGACCTGTCAAAGGCTTTTGGCACTGTCAGCCATTCCACGCTACTAGAAGATATAGAGGCTTCCTCTCTCCCACAGAGGCTCAAACGGTGGTCGGCAAATTGTCTGAGTGGTCGACACTCGTCGGTAATGTTTAGAGACAAATCGAGCAAACTTAGAAAATTAAAACAGGGGGTTCCACAGGGTGGTGTCCTTTCCCCGCTACTGTTCAACTTTTATATTTCACAGCTCCTTCAACCACCAGAGGGAGTCTCGATTGTCTCCTACGCCGCCGATTACTCGATCATGGCGGCTGGTAATGGAATTGATGACCTGTGTTCGAAAGTAAATGGATATCTCTCCGATCTTTCTCGCTTCATCACTGCAAAGTGTCTAGCCCTCTCCCCTACGAAAGCCTCCGCGACCCTGTTCACCACCTCGACGAAGGAGGTCAGGCTACCGCTGGGAATTCACGTCGATGATACACCAATTCCGACGGTGAATACCCCCAAAACACTCGGAGTANCACGTCGATGATACACCAATTCCGACGGTGAATACCCCCAAAACACTCGGACTAACATTGGACAGCCTGCTCTCCTTCTCTGCGCACGCAACCGCTATTGTCNCCCCCAAAACACTCGGAGTAACATTGGACAGCCTGCTCTCCTTCTCTGCGCACGCAACCGCTATTGTCAATAAAGTACAAAGCCGCTACGAAGTCCTCAAGTCGCTAGCCGGCAGTACCTGGGGCAAAGATAAAGAAACGTTGCTGGCAACATACAAGGCAATAGGCCGGCCGGTTTTGAACTACGCAGCGCCAGTGTGGTCGCCTGGGACTAGTTGGACGCAGTTGATGAAGCTACAGACAGTACAAAACACAGCACTCAGGACAGCGACCGGATGCCTCCTGATGTCACCAGAACACCACCACCATGATGAGGCGAAAATGCTCCCAATTAGGGAGCATAACACGATTCTCTGCAAGCAGTTTCTGGTTGGGAGCCACAGATGTGGCCACCCAAACAGACAGCTGCTTGCAGAGGAGCCCTCGCCAAGGCACGTCAGGAGGCATCTATATGAACTGACGCACGAAGTCCAGAGGTTCATTAACCAGCCTCTGGACCCGTCAGCATACCGATAGGCCCTGAACGGCATTCACAGGGACTCAGTCTCGAGTTATGTAGACTCTGGACCCTCTGGACCTGTGAATGCCTTCTAGGCACACAAACACCGGACATTGACGCGACGGAGCTCCATCTGCCTCGGGAGACTAGAACAACATTAGCCCAACTTCGCTCTGACTACTACAACAGGCTAACCTCTTACCTGAGTAGGCTGAACGCGGATGTGCCGAATGAATGTCCGGCATGCGGATAAACCCCTCACGACTCGAAACATCTCTTCGCATGCCCGGAAAACTCTACAACCCTAACGGCGTCGTCACTGTGGACCGACCCCATAGAGGCTGCACGCTTCTTGGGGCTGCCGTTAGTGGAACTCGACGACAATACAACAACAACAACAACATTCTCATGCTAAGGCCAACAACGTAAACCGATACCACCATCATACGGCAAATGCTCGATCAGCTACTTTGAAGTGACGCAGCTGTCCACAGGTGACAACTGTAAGTTTCAAGGTCAAGGGAGTTAGGTCGCCGAACAATTTAGTTGTATTAACTCACCCGCCATAACCGGCGGCCCTTGCTCCCGTCCAAGGGAAATAAATTATTTTAAAAGTAAATTCGTGTTTTACTAAGTGGCACCCAACGTGGGGCCACTGTTCGGAAAAATTATCCTTCAAAAAAAAGGACACGCGCGTGGCAGTGGTTCGAATCCACCAGCTAAATAAGTTGTGAACTTATAAGAAGTGATAATAATTATAAATTGTGAACTCAAAAGGGACATTGGAAATATTAACTCGAAATACTTGCGAAACTATGAAATGAATAATAAAAATTGGAAACTTTAAAATTGATGTGAACTCAAAAGGAAGCATTAAATAATTGTGAACTTCAATAACGACCTTAACTCAAAATATGTGCGAAACTATAAAAATAAATAATACAAATTAGAAGCTTTAAAACTGGTGTGAACTCAAAGGAAGCACTAAAAAATTATGAACTTAGAACAGGACCTTAACTCAAAGGATTTGCGAAACTATAGCATAAATAAAAATAAAGACTAAATTGGAAACACTTTAAAATTGATTAATGGTGAACTTAAATGGAAAAAATAATAATATTGTGGAGTTATAAAGCGATGTTAACCTAAATCATCTGCGAAAATGTGAAAGGACTTCGAAATAAAAATATTGCGAAATCACAAAAATCAGTTAAAGTCACAAATGTAGTTTAGGTTTATTGTGGGTACCTGCCGAACTATACGGTCCAAACTCCACAGAGCCCGTTAAGCTCACAGATTAATTTATGACTTAATCATTGCCCTAAAATGCAAGCATTTCAGCAGTGTGGGGGGACACATTTACCACCTTGGGTCCGGGCACACGGTTTCAATGCAACTCCACATGAACCCTTGCGAGTTCTCCCGCATTCGGATATTAAACCACAGCCCCCGCGATACTCCCCGAATGGCCGTACCTCACTGAACAGACTGGGGTAGTGCTCGCCAGCCAGACTTACNGCCACAGCCCCCGCGATACTCCCCGACGGGCCGTACCTCACTGAACAGACTGGGGTAGTGCTCGCCAGCCAGACTTACTTGGCCAGCTCGAATCACGCAACCTACTAAACATACCAGAATATACATGCTTAACCCCACAACTAGTAAGATCTGCTTTTTACTTCCACACATTCACCAATTTCCACGGTTAACCACAAAATTTACGCCGTGTTTTACAACATTTTCAACGTTTCTCCACGTAGCCAACATTTTCAACGTTTCCAACATTTTCCAACAGTTTTCTCAAAATTTTCATCTAGCTCGTGTCGCGCCTCTCACAAGACTTACTGATCCCATTCCATCCCGGGCTGTCCCTCCCGGAGTGAAAATCGACTTTCAACCCTTGTTCGAGTCACTTGACTCACCTCATTCATTCTGCTCGTCGTCATGTGCATCTGGCCTGTCTCTTGGCCTTGTTCGTCTCACTGGCTTTGCTTATCTAGCCCACGAACACACTCCAGGGGCATCTGTTCGCCCGAGGTACATTTTTTAAAGACTTTGGTATGACTTTCGAAAGCAGAAGACTCTTCTTCCAATTGAACCTCCAACCAACTCAGGATTTGTAGCCATTGACTGGTGTACCCGAGATTTAACACCCGTAGCCCCGCAGTGCGGAACCCCCCTGGGTTTGTTGGTACGGTAATCTCCACATAAAAGTCTGTGTAAGCACATGTCCCACACAGGTTCCCATGCGGAGCATCCCTGTTAGTTCATGCTGACATGGAAGGCCTCAGTGCCCCCATGTCACCACTATAGATCTGGCCCCACGACAAGGGCACCAACTTGCCAGATAGTTAAAGTCAGAATTTAATAAAAACGGGCATAGGTACCCTGAAAAACCTCTGAAAAGCTGAAAAGCGAATTTTATAATGAAAATTGAGGCATTGCACGCCAAGCAGAGGCGCAGCCAACGAGGGAAAGTACGACAAAAGAAGGACCTGGAGCTGATTTACCTAAGCGAGATATGAGAATAATTATGTAAGTAGAGTGTGCCGCAGCTCTTTCTTATCCAATTTAATGGCACTTATGGTAACATATAACAAATTTTGACTAAATGGTGAAATAAATTTTGTGTAAAAATTTTTTTTGTATCCAATAGTTTCAGTGAGTTGAGAACTTTAGCTAAATAAGGAAGGGAAAAAGTTTTCGTTGAGAAGTTATTATCAAATAGAATTTAAAAGTTTATTCAGGCAGGACAATGGACACGCAAACTATACAGGCACTGCTCAATGCCGCAGTCCGTACTGCCGCTGACCATTCCCGTCGGGCATTTCAATCCCAAAGAGATTAACTCACAAACAGATTAGCTAGAGCCAGCTCAAGTTGTGCAGTATGAAGTGGTTACTATTCGACCCAACCTGTCGTGCGAAGAATCCTTGGATCTTGTGAAGACTATGCCGAAATTCCAGGGCGATCCGACACGTTATGTCTCTTGGAGGCAGGCGGCACACACCGCTTATAAGGTATTTGAAAGTTATGAAGGTAGTTCGAAGCACTACCAGGCAGTGGGAATATTTCGAAATAAAGTGGTAGGGGCGGCTGATAGTGTTTTGTCTTCCTTTAGCACAGTTTTGAACTTAAGCGCAATCATTGCGCGTTTAGATTTTGCCTACGCTGATAAGAGACCTCTATTTAATGGAGCAGGAGTTATCCACTCTTAATACAACGTAAGATGTCTGAGATAGATTTCTATGACACAGTCGAGCGGAAGTTGACTCGCATAATTAATAAGACAGTTATGACACACGGTGAGAACGCTACTTTAATATAATCGCTTAACAAGATGCATCGTGATGATGCCTCGTCCTCTGTGTGATATCCTGTTCTCGTACAGACCAGCCGATTTTCCTTCCGCTTTGGCGCTAGTACAGGAGCTTGAAGCAAATCAGTCTAGGTCAATGTTTGCCCTTCTTTTAATAGACAGGTACGTCAGAATCCTGATCATTACCACTACTCACCTCATTACCGCAGGATACCATTTGACCAACCTCGACAACCTCCAGAAACAATGGATGACCCATCTTACTCTCGACTCAGACAAAGCGGACCCAACCACTTCTTCCTAATGATGACAGATATCGAAATCAGGGTGCTTACCCGAAGGCAACTCGTCAGAATAATGGTAACACAGGTAGCAAGTTCAACCGGAACGCTACGCAAACGAATGGGCAACAAGCATCAGCACTTTCGATTAAAGAACGAGCCGAAAAAGGCAGCATGTTGATGACCCTCAATCAATACCGAAAATTCAGCGTGTAAATAATCTTATCCAAGACCAGTATGAGCCCGAGGAGAATATTGAGTGATGTAGGGTACGATGATTATTACCAGGACGAAGGGCCTCAGGGTGCTGAGGACCTCCAGGACGAACCAAACGATGACGTTATTTTTTTAGGACAAAGTCCCTTGAAACATTTTTTTTATTGATACAGGTGCCGCGAAGAGCTATGTAAAATGCCTTAGAGCTCTAAAAGGAATTAAACTCGTCAGCAATATTTGTATCGTAAAATCAATTCATGGCACCGACAAAATTAAAAAACGATGTACGATAAATATTTTTAATAGGAACACTACGTTCTTTATTTTACCCAGCTTGAACACATTTGATGGTATCATAGGCTTTGGATGGTAGCATCGACATAAAAAGGGGTATTTTAAGCTATAATGGTGGACACGAAAAACTTCTATACCATCATTGCTCGGAAGTTAACAAGCTAGTGGAAACGGATTCAAAAGAAAACAAGTAAGAAAGTCTAAGTTCGGGCGGAGCCGAACATTAAATACCCGGCGCAAGTATTAACTATATGTTTTTCACCTTTCCGAAAGCTACCGCTACATGGTAAGCCGGGGTGTATCAATTTTGAATAAATTAGCGTCGTTAAATTTCGAAATATTGAAGGTTAAAGCATTTCTGAAATTTACCGTTATATGAAAAGCGGCCGTAATTTTAGTCCGATTTCAATAATTCTCAACGTTTTTCGAAGTTAGCCTCCGAAATCGAGATATGAGCCTTCGAAGTTCGAAATTGGACCTTCGGTAAAAAATTATCTTTAATTACTACATGTAAAAAGTAAAAATACAGATGTGGTCCGCCTTTTGCTCTTATTTATATGCTATATAATTTTTTTTTGTGAAAACTTATTTTACAGGTGCTATAACGGGTTAAAGGGCAGATCTTCGAGGTAAGCCATGTTTTCTTTCAGTTTTTAGTCATCATGGCCAATGTCATCTACTAGTAGATAAAGCACAAAATGAGCACTTCCGACGACACATTACGTTGTCAGTTTCAAACTAACGTGCAGCAGAAGTTACTCCGAGCGACTGCTCTGCATTACACGTAACTTACTTTGCAAAGTGGCTCAGAAGTATGTCTGATACCAAATGTACATTCTAAATTCCTACTTATATAAGGCGGCCACGTCTGTCTTAAAGTAAGGGAGATTCGTCAGTGAAGTGGTAAAGACCGCCGGGTGAAGTGTAAGTTCATCTTCATCTTCATCATTATCTGCATCTTCGTCATTATCTGCATCTTCATCTTCATCTTCATCTTCATCTTCATCTTCATCTTCATCTTCATCTTCATCTTCATCTTCATCTTCATCTTCATCTTCATCTTCATCTTCATGTGCATGTACATCAACGTACATCCACACCCACATATATTGTAAATACACTTGTACTCAAACATGTTAATATAGACTAAGTAAAAGTTGTATTTTAGACTTAGGAAATTACTTATAAATAAACTCTCCACCGATGATGGAGTCAGTTATACGTTCATCTCTAAAACAGTGAGTTACACGTGTAGCTCTAAGCAGAGCCCCTAAACCACACAAAAGCCTTGCGCAACCCGAGACTTGTAAAAGTCAACATTGTGGAAATTACTACAGCATAAAATTGCGCATACTTTACTTTGAAGAAACGTTGCTCATGTAAATATGTGTAGAAATATGAATGTGCGTTGTATATTTTGATAGTTTCAGCTTTATAACGTAAAAAAATAAGTGTAAAAAAATAATAATTTTTGTCTACGCTTTTATCCATATTTTACAGCACGATCTGGGTCACCAAGATAAAAACTAGACTAAAAATTTCGTAGCTGTTGCCATACGCAGCACAAATTATTGTACAATAACACAAGCATGAGCAAAATATCAAAATAATTTTTATTTTAGCGCAATAATAGTACAAACGACCGACGCAAGCCCGATATAGCGTAATTTTTTGTGTGGTTTAGGCGACGTATGCAAAGAAGTTCCGGGTTGTGTTTCCCTTATAAAAGTTACCAAATCAAACTTATAAATATCTTTATATTTAAATGTGCGACTTTAAGTAACAAGAAAAAAAATATTTGCCTTTAGACTAGTAATACTATTCAAAGTTCTCAAAAATTCATTTCTGCCGGTCGAAGTTATCAAAATACGGTATTTGGGAACAAAAAAGTATCAGATATTACAAATTAGAAAAAAAGTATTAAAAATTATACAACTTTATCAAAACGGCAACGCTGATCGTGATGGAAAACGAAGTTAGTTAGCATCTTGTCGTCATAGCAGAGAACGTTTATATTTCATATTTAGCAAAGAAAGATTTGGAAAGATTTTATAGTCCTGCTATTGACAATATTCAATATTACTAAACTGAAAATGAAAAGTTCAAAACAATTGATATCAAGCACCCCACGGTTTGTTTTTCGGTAAAATTAATTTTATTGTCAACTACTTTAACCTATCTTAGTTTGCTCTTAAAAGTTTAATAAAATCAAGCTACAGAACCTCCTATTCTTCTTAAACGAAATCTGTATTTCTAAAAATTATTTTTAACTCTCTATTTCAGGGGTTCCCAAATTTTTTTCACCTCGGCACCCTTGTTGTGCTAAAAAAATTTCGTGGTACCCCTACTCTTCAAATGTCTACGAAAACAAGAAAACACAATTCAAACTTTACGCTCCTTTAGCTTTAATATGAGGACTGAAATTATTTTGATGACTTCATTATTTCCTTTAAGTTTATTGGGAGCTTTGACAATTNTGGTACCCCTACTCTTCAAATGTCTACGAAAACAAGAAAACACAATTCAAACTTTACGCTCCTTTAGCTTTAATATGAGGACTGAAATTATTTTGATGACTTCATTATTTCCTTTAAGTTTATTGGGAGCTTTGACAATTTTAGCCTGAAATCAATTGACGCTGAAAGCTTGCTGGTGTATTTGTTTTTAACCGACTTCACAAAAAAAAAGGTTATCAATTCGCCGGGATATTTTTTTATTATTTTTTTCTATGTATGTTACCGCATAACTTTGGACCACGTTAACCGACTACTATAATTATTTTTTAAAGGAGAGGTGTTACCACACAGGTGGTCTAATTTGGTTTAAATACGACTATTGGATCACGAATAGATTAACGATAATCTTAAATTCTTAGAAGGGAATTTAAATCGGTTTTGTTTTTTTTTTTGCTTAAAAATTGCTTGTTTATGTAAGCATTTCTTGAAAATGTAGTTTCACATAGAAATGTAAAGTACGGCCCCTATTATGAGTTGCATTCGGCTGTGGTCGAAAGAGCTGATCGAACGAATTTTCATTTGGTATTATGACTCTCATTCGATGAAGAATAGCGCTATTGTGAATTTCGCTCGGTTAGGTTGTTTACAATAGTATATTTTTCACCGCTGAGAAGTTTTGTTTACAAGTCGAGCAAACTAAATAGTGTGCTTATGTGTGTATATGTAAATTTGTGCAAATTAAAATGAAATAAAAAAGAAAGAAAGTTTATAAAAACGTGGCGAAAATGAGTACAACGGAGTTCTGGTTCAACGATTCGTCAGAGGATGAGAGCTTGGTAAACTGGCCAGGAGTAGAAAATGTTTAAGAGGGTTTAAGTGTAGTCTTTCGAATTAATAAAAATTCTTTAAAATTAGTGTCTAGCCGCCATAAATGCAAAACATAAATTTTTCACAATTTTCTAACACTTCGCTACACCATCGAAAGCAAAATTCTGTTCGACAGAAAATTCGATACTCAACGAAAATTTCAACACGGTTGCATAGCTCATAATTTCACTTTCGATGTTCGATCTTCGATAACCAGCGATGAAAATAACGCTAAGAAAATAATTTTTACAGCCAATTTCATGAAGGCAATTTAAGTGATAAATGATTTTAATTTTTTGAATTTTATATGGATATTGCTAGTGAAACCGGCTGTTATCAAATTTCTTAGCGCTAACTTCGAAGTTACATACGTTTTTCTGATTACTTTGTTTATTTATGGAGTTTTCATGCAAATTGCTAGAAATTCTAAAATGCACATGTCACCAATAAAAAAAACTCGACGTGCTAGAAAAAAACAGAGATGTATTTTAATTTCTCAGGCCTCTGTTATATTCGCAGCGTCATCGAGTATGGGTTTTAAATCTAATGGCGGCATCTTCCTAGTCGCCAGGGAGTACCTAGAGATCATACAGTGACTTTCGTTGGCGTTTTCTACCTCTTGCTTCATCCTAGACATCGCTCCTTTCGTTTTTCAAACCACCAAATATCCGCACACTTGCTCCATTTCAAGCCATTGTTCTGAACAAATTTGTCGATAGCTTTAAAAATTTCGTCGCTAGTGGCGTAAGTCTGAAGTACTTCCTTCTTCTTCGATTTGCATTGCGAATGGGTACCTCACTAACGAGAAGACTGCCTCTAAAATCCTGTTGATTCGCTCTTTGACAGTGTGATTGTGAAGTTCCAAAGAATAAGTAATATATACACGTGCGCGAAACTGCTGCGCTTGTTACGAGAACAGCCCAGCCAGCAAAAAATCCGAAAATTAATCCGAAAACGGGAAGAAAAGTGGATGAAATGCGGATTAGGTATACAAAAGTACCGAAAGTGGTTGTGAAAAGGGTACGTTTTCAGTTATTTTTCTGAAAATTTTCTGATTTAATTTTACGTTGACAAAACGTACTGGGGAACTACGCTTAAGAGCGAAATATCCATTTGCTGCAAGCTATTTGTGTTGTGTATGGTTTGACAAGCTGAAGGTAATTTTAATAAAAATCTAAATTTTTTGATTCTCTGGCCGCCATATTGAAGTTTAATCAAACCACTTGCGTTGTGTATGGAAAGTCTAAAGAATTTGCCCGTACCACTAGTATAATATAGCCACTAGCGGCACCCCAGGCATACGTTCGCGTCACCCACTTTGGGAAGGCCTGCCCTCTAGCACCTGTAATATAAGTTTGTACAAAAGAAGTTATATACCATTTAAATATGTATTTTTTGGTTTTTAGTTATTTACGTGCAATAATTAAATAT